TTATATATAGCAACTGTTTTACTAACTTTTTATGTTAACAATAACGATAACAATTATTAAAATTTAAAAATGCAGGGGCATATTCTAAATAATGACAATCGATTTTGGAATTGATTCTGGAATCGATTTTGGAATCGATTTCGGAATCGATTTTACAATCAGGGGGCAAATTATGCAGAGACACAGAATTTTGAAAACAGCGATAATAATTTGCAGTATAGTTATTAATGCCCAGACTGAATGTAGAGGTGGAGGCCAAGTCTGTAACGATACCACAGAGTGTTGTATTTTGAGTATGGGGATGTCAACTGAACAAGCGCCAGAAGGAGCATGTATAGAAAAGCCTACTGAGGATAAAAATTGTGGTGGAATAGCATTAAGTGGGTGTCTTGCGCTAAGGGTTTAAAGTGCAGTGAAATTTCCAAGACTTGCATTAAAGACACTGTCCAAGAGAAGTGCACAGAGTGCGGACAACCTTATTTGTCCAATGGTCCTTGTTGCGCTCCTGGAGTTAAATTTAATGATATGTGCTACTGTGCTACTGGTATAAATTCTTGCTTTTCTAATAATGACTGTAAAACGTCAACAGGTTGCTGTGATCGTCACACTGGGAAGTGCGTTGAATCGTACCTTTGTGGTTAAGAACACGCTTTTTTCATTTTGTTTTTGGTTGGGATTTTATTTTATTTATCATTATAGATATTTTTTTTGTTTTTGTCATGGCAATTATGAAATAATATTTTAAAGTTATAAATCATTTTGTTTTGCTATTTTGAGCCTTTTGCAAGTTTTTGCCACAATATTTTTTATTAACAAATAAAATTTTAAAAAAGATAATAAGGGAGGGTGACAAAATTTTTTCCCCACTTTTTAAAAATTATTAAAAAATCAACTATCTATTAAAACCTAATAAATATATATTCATTAGAAAGCTTAAGATTTTCTCTATTTAGTAAAATTTTAAAAATTATATTATTACTATGATTATTGATCTAAAACTTGATAATAAAAAATACTCTATTTTTAAATTTAATTCTAATAATTTTATACATAATAATTATATTATTTTTTTATTGATATCTAATCTTCTATGCTTTTAGGTTATTATATTATATAAATTTTTATTTGTTCTTTATAAAATTCATATTATTTAAAAAAAACAAAAAAAACATGTTTTTTTTAAAAAATCAATTATATTGCAAAATTTTATTAATATAATCAATTTTGGTATATTAATTAAAAATATTTTTT